CCTCCGCATCTGTCCTACAGCCTGATCATCAGAGGTGTGTTTCCTGTGTACCTGGATTGTCAGAGATAGAAAGCAGGCAGTGAAAGTACCCGTGGAGCTGGCTGCAGGGCTACCCTGAAGTAGGGATTAGCTTTGGCTGTCTTCTAGTACTTAGTTGCAATAGCAGCCACTCAATCAGCAGTGGCCACATAGTATGTAGCAATTTTTGTGAAGAAAAATTAGCCTCCAGCAAAGGCAATCAGACAAGTTAAGATACCAAAGAAAAGTCAAGTTTTCATTTGTAAGCCTTAGAAAAAGACTAGCTGAAAGGTATGGGGGAATCTCAGGTCAGCTTTTCTCATCAAGTCTTTCTTAACTGCAGTCATAGGCATCATCCTCATGGAAATTTCTAACATAATCAGATCTAGCTCTACCTTTACTGTAGAAGACAGTTCTGGAATTCCAGCTGCTGTCCTTCTTTGATAAATTGCCTTGCTCTAATTATTTTTATGTGAAGAATTACTGCTACATGGAGCTTAATCTTCCTGGTACCCAGTTGCTAACCATTTGGATGGAAATACACCAGTCATTATTTTGACAAACTTCAATTTAGTTACTCACTATGTTCTCTGAAATTCCATATCTCTTTGATAGCTGCATATGTTTACGCCATGCTATTTTTCTTCCCAAGGGGTAAATCTGCTTCTGTTAACCCTCTTCTCCTGGTGTTACTGCTGCCCCTACTGTAAGCTGATGTGTAGGTGTCCTCTTCAAAGCCCCTGCTGACCACTGGGCTCCGCGTTCTTACAATAAGAGCAGTCTTTACTCTTTCCTTTCATGGGTGGTGCTTTCAGTGTAGATCCTGGTAGAGACTCCATGGCAGTTATGGTGAGACTTACACCTCCCTTGCTGGCAGTTGTGATAAGATATTGAATCCCAGCACAGATTACTCCTGACCTGTGTGTCACATGTCCACAGGCCAGACCCAGATAACCAACACTGAAAGCATCTTGATAGCTTTAGGCATAATGGTGGAGCCATGGCTGTTGCAGGTCTCTTAGGGTCCTCACCGAGAGCTGTCAAGACACCTGTTCTGCTTAAGCCTCTGCTTCCTGTCCATTCACTCACTTTATACGAGAACTATGGCAAACATCAGATTAGGGGGTCATGGGCTTCAACTTTGTCTTCTCTAGAATGGCCAAGCGAATCAGCCTCCATGCTGGGGATACCTGTTTTCTTCTGCTGCTTTTTTTCCTCTTAAAGACTTAATATTTTAAGAGCAGTTTTAGGTTCACAGCAAAATTGAGAGGAAGGTACAGAGATTTCCCAAATTGTCCCTGCCCCTGTCCCTGCCCTTGCACAGCCTCCTCCATTATCAGCAATCCCTACCAGTGTGTTACATGTGTCACAACTGATGAACCTACATTAATATAGTCACATGAAGCCTATTGTTTACATTAGGATTCACCCTTGGTATTGTACATTCCATGGGTTTGGACAAATGTATGCTGAAATACGTCCATCATTCCAATGTCATACAGAGTAGTCCGACTGTTCTAAAAATCCTCTGTGCTTTGCCTATTCATGTCTGCCATCCCGCAGCCCTTCATCTGTTTACTGTCTCCATAGTTTTGCCTCTCCCAAAATGCCATATAGTTGGAATTATATAGTATGTAGCCTTTTCAGTTTGACTTCTTTCATTTCATAACATGCATTTAAAGCTCCTCCATGTCATTTCATGATACCGTAGCTCATTTCTTTTTAGCACTAAATAATCCATGGTATGGATGTCCCAGAGTTCATCTGTTCACCTGAGGAGGACATCTTTGTTCTTTATCAAGTTTTGGCAATTATGAATAAAGCTGCTATAAATATCCATGTGTAGGTTTTTGTGTGAACCAAACTTTTTAGCTTCTTTGGGTAAATACCAAGGAGCTTGATTGCTAGATCTTACCGTAAAAGTATACTTAGTTTTGTAAGAAACTGCCAAAGTATCTTCCAATGTAGTTATATTTATTCTGCTTTTGATAAATTCTGTGTCATCTTTTCAAAGTAGCTCAATTGTTATTTCTCCGGGAAGCCTTTCCTGCCAAGAGAGAGTTAACTATTCCCCCTCCCACATAAAATTTCCTTGGAGATAGATATTGTTTTGCACCTATCTTTTCTATGTACATCTCCCCTCCTAGATTATTGGCTCCTAAAGGTCAAATCTCAAGTATTATTTATCTTTATATCTCTAGCACTTAGGATGTGCCTGGCGTGCATAGTGTAGGTAATCAATCAGTGATTGTAAAGTGAATTAAACTGATTGATGTAATCAGTGGGCTTTTTAAGCTTGATATCATTACTTTAAAAAGGAAGAAACAAAACATGAAAGACCAAATGCATCTGTGAACCACCTTACCCCTATCCCAACCCTACTTCCCGTATACATATTCACATACAATTTGACTGTGGACACTTGAAAGGTGCACTTTGTGGTTATGGAGCATTGACATACTCAAACATGAGAATTAAGGCTTCCTATGCAATTCTGCAGTATTACCTAGGAATGAGCTGCTGGCTGGAAACTCTGCATATGGAGTTCAAAGCTACCTGTTCACAGACATAGGCCTGGGAATATGCTAAGGATTCTTCTGACCCCCTTAATAAAGTGGCTTCCTCACAACACCTGGCTTTCTACTTAATGGTGATAAAAGAGGCTTAATGAAAGTCAAAGCCAGCATTCATTCCCCTCTCTAACAATTTTGCACAGAAGGTTGGCTTTTTCTCCAAGCTGTTGCTGGGTAGTGATATGGCATCATTGGGTTCAATGGAATTCAATATAACAGCCTTATTAAAAGAAATCAAGTAGACTGACAGAGGCAGATTGGATAAATGCTGAAATATTTGCATACTGGTGGAGAGTACAGATACTGACCTCTTAAATTGTTTCATGCACAATGATTTCAATTCAGGCTTAGTTTGATCTTTTAGATTTTTGCTTCCTTTATGGTTGAAAGGCATTTCATATTCATCTGACATGGTAATATGCATAATCTGTCAAAGCAGAAGCTTGTTCTATTGCTTTCTGTAGAGAATAGCTTGTAGTTTATGCTATATTCAGCAATCCACTGCTAGGTCAGCAGTGAACAGGGATGCTAATAAAAGCCTTGGAGCAGATAGCGGAGCTGATCAAAGCCTTTTAGGTGATCTTAAAAGTATGTTTTAGGTGTTTTTGATTCACAGAGATGGAAGTGACTTTAGAGAACATAAGTGGAAGTCGCTTGCCTCTGGGTCATGCCACAGAACATCCTTTTGAGGTACATAGGTACACGGGCATCCAGTTTTTAAAAGTCATTCAAGAAGAAAATTCCATTATCAACATTTATCAAATGGAGTTGTTAATAACTTTCCCTAATAGAAAGATCTCTCTTAAATTGCAGCATTTTTCATATTGCAATTTCTCTGCTGACTTTTTTTTTTCCCCACAGTGGAGATGAAAGAAACCATTCATCATCCTCTTATCACATAACAAATATATGAAGACTCTCTAAGTCACCACTAGGCATAGTCTTCATTCTTTTCTCACTCCCAATGCACTAATCACCTTGATTATTGTCACAATCCCTGACAGGTTTCCCAAATCTACAAATATCAACTTTTGGAACATATCGTTTATGAGCACTTAGTGGTATGAGTAATGAGGTGGTGACTGCTTGGTTCTGGAGGGTTATATAGGGTGAATGTTTTTTCCAAATTGGATTTGCTTTAAGAAACCAAAATTTATTTAAACATCTATCATATGACAGGCACAGTGCTGATTTGTGCTGCCTGTGAGCTATGTTTACTTTAGATCATTCTGCCAGAATAAAGTTAATTCAACCTGGGGAGGTAGAGGAGTCAGAGTAGCCTTCTCAGAGCTTCAGTCCTCACAGACACTGGGTGCAGGGGCTACATAATTGGGTAAGAACCACTGTGGCAAAGAGGCAGCAGATGAAGCTTTTCATATGTGTTTATTATACAAGCGACTATTTTACATAATTTCTTCTATCACCATGAAATTACAGAACACCGAGCTGAAAGAACAAAAGATCATCTGAGCAAGTCCATCATATCAGGTTGGGTGATAGTTTGCCACCCAGGAAAGATCTCAGCTCCACAACTTACTAATAGTGGAGCTTTGAGAAAGTTGCCTAACCTCTATGAACCTCAGTTTTCTTATTTATAAAGTGGGAATATTAATTAGCACATTGCAGTGTTTTAATGAAGATTCAGTGAGATAATATATGCAAGTATGATAGCTATTATTAATTTATACAATTTTATATGTGCTACTTGGAATTTTCTAGGAATGGAGTCACTGTATCTATTTCCATGTTTCCTAGTATTTTATTAATCAGGTGACTAAGATTTCTTTCTTGTACTCAACTGAAATCTAACCAGTTTTGGGTGGTTTTGTTGATGCTGACTTCCTTCCATGTCCTCTAAGAACATAGAAAACTTGTTTCTGAACTTGTTAGTCAAATGTTTGAGTACTAGGAAGAGTAATGGGCAACTTTACATGTACCATACACACATTATCCAATTTAATCTGTTTCCCTCCTGTGAAACCATAGTATGGTGATAGAACAAGTCTTAGAGACACTGAGGAAGGTGCCTGGATGTCACATAGAGGGCCTGGATTCACTGCAGGTCTTTCTCCCCTTTTTACTTTGCTGTGCTGCCCCAGGACACATATTCAGTTTTCACTTCTGCAGACTAAATAATCTCATTAAAAAAATTCAGTAACCAGCTATTGATAAGGGGAATAAGATAAAACTATTGTTTTTGAAATATAAATAATGTCACCAGCTTCAAATCCTTTTTGGAATGAATAATAATAATGGTGATGTTGGGTTACATGTGAAAGGTGTGCTTTAAATATGAGTGGAAAATTAAACCAATGATTAGTAGTAGTAGGTTCAAATTATTCCAGTTTTGGTTAGTTTTTGCTGAGTTAGAAGGATTAATATTTTCCATATCATCACACCTTTACTTACTGGTTTAACAGGCTTTAACTCAACATGATCCTGGTAGTAGGAGTGTGTATCAAGTCCACCTATGAAATCAACTGAAAATATAACATAGGCCAATATGAATAAGTGTGTGAAAAATACACATAATATTAATGTTTCAGGAAGAATGCATAAGAGCAAAGTTAACAAAAATATCCATTCACCATAAAATGAAAAAATATTTAGCAAAAAGGACTACTAAAAATATTGTCAATGAGCCAAAAAGAGGAAATTTTAAAAATACACAACCTGGATTCATAGGATCTGAAAAATAAGTTGTTATTGGTTTCAGTAAAAAATGAAGTAATATTAAAAAGCATGAGATTTTAAATAATGTGTTTGTCCTTAGGCATACAGACATGCCCTTTCTCCTTACATATCAAAAGATATACTGTCTCCTCTTGCTGCCAGAATCCTTTTTGTTTCCTTAAGAATATGTATTGAATCATTAGAAAGGCATTTGAGAAGCCACACAATCTATCTCCATGCCTTCTGTCCCCAAGTCACCCCCCAAAAATAAACATCTGCCTTTTGCAAATGTTTTGTTTCCTGCCTAATGGCGGAGTAACTGGCTGTCTGTATAGACTTCTCATCTTTGTAATATTCTTTACAGTTTCTTTTGGTTTTGATCAAAGCCTCAATCTTTTCTTCTCCCAAATGTAGTGTACATATATGATCTTTGTTTCTCCTGTTTCATAGTCCATTAAAGATACTAATTACTTTAAACCAAGCTTTGGTTGTATTATAGCACTCTAACATTAACAGGCATACAGGCGTGTAGGAAAACTGAACTCTCAAGAGTGTGTGTGTGTGTGTGTGTGTGTGTGTGTGTGTGTAAATGCCAAGCAAGTTTGCTAAATGGAGGACATGTGTAGTATGTTTTAGCCCAAATATTTGCCTCCATACAGAGTATCAGTTTTTGGCAAAAATTTTATAAAACAAAACCCATAAGTAGTATCTGTTTATGATTCTTTTCACCAAATACAGACACTACAAAATTCTAAGTCTTCTCAAATCAACTTCTGTTCCTTCAGGTGCAGAAAATACATTTGTCCAATTAAAAACTGGGACTCCATTCTAAAATGTCCTTTCTCAAGTCAAGATATCTCAAAGGGAAATTATAAAATTAAAAAATCAATTATTGTGCAACATTTTGAGTTCTCATTTGTCTTTTGCTTTTGTGAGGATATAGTTCAATGTTTTCTGTAACCTTTCAATTATTACAATTTATGAAGAGTTTTGAAAGTTTTTTTGGGGGGTGCTTTGGTTTGTTGAATAATCAATTTAAATTTTGCAATTGATCTTGAATGTAATGCAACTAAAATGTAGAAGATTCGTTTATAAAAATACAGACATTTTAAGAAACTTAGGTTGATTTACAAAGTAGTTTTTCAAAGGCCAAAATAGTCAGAACTCAGATTGATAAAGGGAAGGGAAGAGAGAAAATGTATTCTTTTATGTTGAAGTTCCTTTTGTTTTCAACATTGGCCTCATCACAAAAACATTCTATTTTATTTACTCTAAATGTGTGTGTGTGTGTGTGTGTGTGTGTGTGTGTATACATATATACACATTTTGAAGACACTTAGAATTTCTGTTTTCATCAGTAAAATAGTGCTGCTTTATTAGGATGCAATTGTAAGTTTCTTGTGCACTTGAATTCCAAATACAGTCCTGCTTCATGTATTTTTTAACCTAGTAAGAATATTTTTTGTTGTTTTTTAAGCCATATGTTGTACTTCACAAAATTTGTATTGTATTATTTCCACGAAATAAATAAATTTATCTTTAATATTTACTACTTAATTAGATTATGACAGGATTTAAAATAATATCAGAGTTTTGCTTTGGACAGAATGAACATCTAAAAGGCTTATGTTTGCTGGTCATGGTGGCTCATGCATGTAATGCTAGCACTTTAGGAGGCCAAGGTGGGCAGATCATTTGAAGTCAGGAGTTTAAGACCAGCCTGGCCAACATGGTGAAACCCAGTTTCTATTAAAAATTAAAAATTTAGCTGGACATGGTGGCACACGCCTCTAATCCCAGCTACTCGGAGGCTGAGGCAGGAGAATTGCCTGAACCTAGGAGATGGAGGTTGCAGTGAGCCAAGATCATGCCACTGCACTCCAGCATGGGCAACAGAGGGAGACTCTGTTTTCAAAAATAATAAAAATAAAAGAAACAAAAAATAAAATAAAAAAAAAAAGGCTTATGCTAAGCCAGGTGCAGTGGCTTATGCCTGTAATCCCAGCACTTTGGGAGGCCAAGGCAGGTGGATTGCTTGAACTCAGGAGTTTGAGAACAGCTGGGCAACAATGGTGAAACCCCATCCCCATTAAAAAAAAATTCAAAAATTAGCTGGGTGTGGTGCCATGTGCCTGTAGTCCCAGCAACTTGGGAAGCTGAAGTGGAAGGATGGTTTGAGCCTACAAGACAGAGGTGGAGGTGGCAGTGAGCCCAGAATGTGCCACTGCACTCCAGCTTGGGAGACAAAGCCAGATCCTGTCTAAAAAACAAAACAAATAAACAAACAAATTTAAAAGGCTTATGCTAATTATATGAATTGGATTAAAAAAGTAAAATCATTTAAATAAGTTAATTGGTGGTCTGTTGAAAGCATCTGATAAACTAATATAATTCCAGTACTATAAACTGGTATATAAGACTGGTATCATTATTTTAACTCTGAGAAATTCTTCTCCTAGTGTGTCAGTGCATTAACCTACACTTCCAGCTGCTCTCCAGTGACCCTACCAGCTGGATATGGTGGGAAGAGTTGCTGGTAGGAGCTGTAGATTGCAGTGTTTCTTCCACATCCACTGAGACTGGAAGGAGTTAGCCATCTCCACTACTCCTACTGAAGTAGGTATCTTTCTCAGTGATCAGGTTGCATACTGCCTTTGAAAGGAAGATGCTAGTTATGTTTTGTCTTTTAAGTTTTGGAGAAAAGAGAGTGGTATTGTTGGTTTTCTTACAGATTTAACCATACAGTTAAAAGAGAATTCTAAAAAAAAAAAAAAAAAAAAAAAAAAAAAGGATTCTGTTGATTGCTCAGGCATCTCACATACCTTGATAAGACTATGATAGAAACGGGAAGAATTGTCTACATACCCATTCTAGATTTTCCTAATACAACTATCAATAGTAATATTTCATTTGAAAACTAAAAAATGCAGGACAAAGTCTAAAACAGATAAAGTGCCAGGGCAATTTGTATAAGCAAGGGCTGTTTTAACCAAATTAGGACATCTGGTCCCTGCGATTGATGGCACTATAAATCAGCCACACCTATGTGTTTTTTCTTTCTTTCTTTTTTAAATTGTTATTTGTTATTTGTTTTTTTCTTTCTTTTTAATTGTTATTTGTTTTTCGGCTATACCTTCTCTGCATATCAGAAACTTAGCACGATGTAAATGTTGTAAACTCTAGAAATAAAATGTCACATATAGGTAAGACTTAAATTATCAGATTCTAGAACTAGACAAGACTACCAAAAATTTAACTATTAAGGAGGAATCATTGAAAAGTAAGTAATAAAGAAACTGAAATATCAAGAATTCTTCATGGATGGGACAGAGAAATGAGGCTTTTTGGCCACGGAAGCCACCAAGTCCTCAAGATGAGGATGTTTTCATATTAAAAAACAGTTTGTCATGCATGCATCAATGTTTCCCATTTGCTAGAGTGGGATGACAGTTCAAGTAAAGGGGCAAATGAAAGTGTACACAGAGGGCAAGTTTACAGATTATGAAAGCTTTTTTTAAAATGACATCAAGTGCTTTAAAAATGAAGAAATTTTAAAAATAGAAGACTTAAAAAAGACTTGAAAACAACTCATTAGGAAAGACCTTCAGTTTTTACTTATGTTTGGGGAAAGGCAGTCATATTATACCGATAAGAAAGTAAAGCAACTCTGCATTTTTAAATTCACTTTCTTGAGAAAGATAGGAGAAGAGAAGATGCTGAATTAAGTACTTTCTTCAGTGGAAATAAGGGTGTGAATTTCAATGAAACACGAAAATAAACAGAAAAGGCATGGACAGGTTTTCAGAAGTACTAGAAAAGGAAGATTGGAATAAAAACATCCAAGGAAATCTGTAGTTATAACAGCAAGAACACTATACAGGGATCTTCAGCAGAAAAGATGGAGCAACAGAAGGAAGCATCAGGGCACAGCTTGCTGGGAGCCTGCAGGACAGTGAAATTGAGTTCCATGTGCTTTGATTATTAGATCCTGGAAGTGAAAAATATATTTTAGAAAAAATAACAACACAATTAAGAGTTGGCATCAACTGTCCAGAAAAGTCAGCCACACAGAGGGCCACTCTCTACACCCATTCTCAGAACCTGAGGTGTTACCATCAAAGATCCCCTGGGGAGAGCCTGTAGCTAGGAAATCCCTTTGTTTGCAGTCCTTTCAAATCTTCTTGCTGTGCCAACTTCCAGCAGCACAGCCAAGCAACTTCTTGGAAGAAATAATATTACTTGTAACAAAATATCTTTGTGGTTACTCGCTCTAGCCATCACCAATTCCTGACAAGGATTCTCACAGAACCGAAGAAATTACAGAGCTACTTTAGATTTATAGCAGCATCCTACTGTGCAAATACAGACTTGTATTCTACTTGTAAAAAATACACCACCAATAGCAACTGTTCTGTTTGTCTATGGGACACTCTGGGTCACAAACGAAGTTTCCATTAGATAATTCAGTGCTACTGATTCAGTTCCCCACTCAGCCATGGCAAACCTGATTGACTTTATGCAGAATCAAAGGGGAACTCAAGGCAATTGATTTTCCTTCATCCTGTGCTGCTGTTCAGGAGGCAACATGTGCAAGGTGGCTGGCTTTCAACCCGGCAGCTTCCTATGAGAAATAGTTCACTACATGTCATGTGAAGTTGAAGATGTAGCCCTTCGGGGGCTATGGGAAGAGTCACCCTCAGCTCTGAGAAATTTCCTGTGCTCCTCAGAGGCAGTCTAAGTGCTAATGTTTTCCTTCTCTTATGGAAATGCTTGCTGCTTATTGTAAATCCAGAATCGATACTTGGAT